GCGACTTCAGCTAGTTAGACAGAAAGCGGTGTCTCTGAACAACACGATGATAGCGATGCGAGATGGTAAGGATGAACTGAGCCTCGCGTTTGAGTGGTTGGACATCTGGACCGACACGCTGAACTCTGACAAGTTAGACAGGAAGAGAGTCAAAGATCTGCAAGGGTCCATGTGCATGCCCACGAGCCAAACAGGGAAGCAGGTGGTCGTCCTGCCCAAATCCATCGCGATCCATCGCGAATCTAAGCCTCAAGGTTATAAATAACGCGATAGGGCGAATCACCGATGTGGAGAGCAGAGGGAAAGGTAAGAGCCTCTTCGCCTGGCTAATTTCAAAACTAACGGAGGTCAAGTGACAAAAGCACAAAGTCATACAAAGGTACAACGCGAATATCGCGAGCGACTCCAGATTCGTGGACAAAGTGAAAACATTCACGCAAGCCCTGGATGATTCTTCTTCTTCTTCTTCTTCTTCCTCTTCTTCTTTTTCTCACAGAAAGCGAGTCGCCGTGGGGGACCTGCTCGTGTTCAAGTATTCTTTGGAACGGCTGATAGACCGGGAGATCCCTGATCTGTTCTTGGGCTCCATGATTCACCGGCACATGCCATTCACAGTCACCATGCGAGGCTTGATCAATCGCGGAACCAATTGCAGCATCATCAGCGTGGTCCAGTGCCTGTACGAGACACGCGAGCTGCGCGATCTCATTCGCCGAGTCGAGGCACGAGATTACGGGGGTACGACTAATGGTGGTGCCAACAACGCGGTGGCTCCTACGCTCATCCGCGAGATGAGTGCATACGGCCCGTGGCCGTGCGACCCGACCCGCCTCATGAACTCGATAAGTGCATACGGTGGAGTGTCCTTCGAGGTTCAGGAGGACGCCGACATGGTCTTCAAGTGCATCATCAACGCTCTAGCGGACAGGCGCGGGGCTGCCAAAGAGATTGGGACATCGAGAAGGAGGACGGCGTGCGCTGCCTCAGTTGCTACACCGTCCTCAGCTCGGTCCGCACCAAGTACAACACGATCCCCGTGTCACTGGAAGACAATCTTCCCGACGAGCTGCAGGAATACGTCGTGAAGCGGGGGAACTCAGACAAGGCAACGTGCAAGTGCCATTGTGAAACGTGTCACGTGAGAACCCGGATCGAAATAACGAGCGACGTCTTGTCGCTGCCCCCGATTGTGTGCGTGAGGATCGCTCGGGTCAGAAACCTAGGCGGTGAAGCGGCTTGCCTCGCCAAGATGGAGAAACACTTCGCTTTCCCTGAGACTCTGGGTCTGAAACACCTCGTGAAAGAGCCCGAGGACGCTGCTCTTTACTACGAGCTGTACGCCGTAGTGGCCCACCGCGGCACTCACCACTGCGGACATTACGTGGCTTACACGCGGGCGGACAACGGCTGGTACTTCACGGACGACGCTTACGTTAGTCTGTGCTCATGGGAGGACGTCAAGATGACTTACGGGTCGGACTCTAACGACAACCAGGGGGTCGCTTACGTGCTCATGTACTGCAGGATAAGGAAGGATAAGTAGAAGAAATATGATTGACGCTTTTAGGTAACTGCAGATATCGTGAAGATTTAAATTAATTACTTCAACTGACTAACCATGTGTCAGCATATTACAGTATAAAATTGTTTAAATAAGGAGCAGCAGCAGCTTATACTGCTACCTCATTTTCTTTAACTCTCTCTGCCAGTCTTACTGTCTCCTGTACACACACGTTATCACTTGAAGCAAGCATGCTGAGCTCTTCCCTGAAGGTTATAATAGGCAGTGGGGAGGGCTGGCAGTGGGCTTTGTGATGGATGCTGTGGGAGGGCTACATGTGGCAGAAAATGGATGAGGGAGTAAGTGAAGGAAGGACAGGAAGTTGGATCCACACCATCTTCAACTGCTGGTTCGACAATGTTCTCCTGTGAGTTTTCTCTGATCGGGCAGAGATGGGTGACAGGAGCAGGGTGAGAAAGTCCTACAAGCTGAGGAAGCTCAGCACAAAAACACACCGCTACCCAAAGAGGTATGGCTGTACTCTCCTCAAGCTTTTGTTTTCTGCAAGTATACTAGTGTGCACATTCATTTTCCCCTAGATAAAGCAAAAATCAGTCACATTATGAAGAGGGGACTAAATGCATACATCCATTAGAAAATTTGAGTCAGTATCTGCAGTCACATTTTACTCACATATCAACAACACTTTTTCTATAACCCTCTGGTTTGACATCAGTGACAGTAAATTCCCCTTTAAACTCTGATTTTGAGTATGATATGATAGCTGAAATTGTGAGAGAAACATGGTAAAATCTGCATTGTCAGTCCAAAACAGGTCACACCGTGCCGCTGCTCCCACCCACTTTTTTATATTTACATCATAGGGCTACTGTCAGGATTTCCAGCAGCTTCCTCTCACATGTTTTTATTTTGATTCACTTCTACCCTTGTTATGGTTCCCTATCCTTCTGTTCTAGCTTTAGCACACTCTTTGTCTGTGTGTAGTTCTACCCTCCAGCACTTTATTAGAATCAGAATCATCTTTAATTGCCAAGTATATTTAAACATAGAAGAACTCGACTCCAGTACAGAGGCTCCCAATGTGTTGCAAGGCAACAAGAATAGAAAGCAACAATGAGGAAAAAAACTCAAAAGGTAGAGCAATAAAAATGAGAATAAATGATGTCACAGAGTCAGTGAGTTCATCCAGGTCTGTAGACGCAGTTTCAGATACACTCCAATCTGTGCAGTCAAAGCAGGCCTGTGGCTCTGACTTTGTCTGCTCAGTCCATCTCTTCACTGTTTTCACTCTATCTGCTGTTTCCTTGTCATCATCTACCTTTTCTTATCTTCCTCTAGGTTATTAATAAACACCTTAAAGGCCCATTTGTTTTGCTTCCTGCATTTAGGTCCCAACCTGCTTCCAAAGCTACAATTCCCTATATATACTCTGACAGACTCAAACTGATATTGTACCATCTGACAGACTGTCAACAAGATGTTTTGAAAATCATCTTGCACAGTGTGGCATGTGATAAACCTTCACAATTGTTGTTGTTAGTGTTGCTGCTGCTCCATTCTGGCAAATGTGTACAATCTCTGACCAGCAAAATTATCTGTTTCAGTCTTAGTGACACTTTTCCAAGGTTCACCCTAGTACTAACCTTCTAGACAAATAAGACAAATCCTTTCTTACATTATGTAGCAGTTTGTTCCAAATAAAAACCGATGCTATAAATATCTAAGTTCAGTTTCTTTTAAGTTAGCTCTATTAGTGTGAATATTGAATTTTATTTTGATATAATTGGTGGATTTGCAGTTGTAATTACAGTTTATATGGTATGATTTGAACACTGCACTAGTCTTAAGGGTACTACACACCCATGGTCTAGTCACACAGGCAATTTTACAATTGTCAGAAAACACCTCTGCTCAGAACTATGTAGGTGTGTACGCACTGTGCCTGATTGACAGCTCCCTCACTCTGGTTGCACCTTACACAGTCGGTTATCACTCCTTATTTTGTTTCTGTGAAACTGACTACTGCGCTTATACATGAAGTCCAAATTTTAGATACTTAGACAAGTCTGGAAAATGTTTGGTTTTTGATATACCAGGGCATTTTTGTGTAACTGGTTGCCAGTTTTTATATGTGCACAGTCTCTTTGACTTAAGATGCTTCTGGCAGAGACTGTGTAGTTTCATCCAAATTCAGAAGACAAGAAGCCTTACTGTATGTTTTATATAGCCCACTAGATTATGACAAAAGCATAATGCCTCATGGATTGTTTGCTACCACAAGGTGACATAAGACTTAATGCATTTATTTTCAAAGTTACAAAATGTTTATACTGTATTGATGCATTCATTAACATTGTCTTTCTAAAAGAATCATGTGTTTCAACTAAATCATGATTATCAGTTTCATATACAAATGTTCAGGCAAAGCAGTTTGATCAAATTTGATAAGGATGGTGGACTGTGTAGTCTTAGCAGAAGAATGCACTCTGAGTGCTAATGTTTTGCTACTAACTTGGACAAACCTAACTTGAAACTTGTTGGGCTTGACTTCGTCTTGATTTGGTATTTTATAACCAAGACTTCAGACTTACTGAGAACTCTAAAAAAAACATAGTGACAAACATTGTTAATGAGGATGTGTTGTTATCCATTGTTTATCAAATTGGAATTAGTAGAAAATGTCTAATATCACACTGTACAGGAAGTCTGCACTGTAGCACATTTTTTCATTACTCCCTAGAATATGGCATTAAAAAAGCCTTAATGTATTTTCATCAACACAGTGCAAAACATGAATCATTCTGTAAGACAATGTCTGCACTGCAAAAAGTCAGCTCTCAAAAACAAGAAAAAAAAGTAATAAAATGAGATAAATGACTTAAAAAAAGCAAAATTATCTGCCAACAGAACAGGAAAATTTCACTTGCTAAGATTTTTAAAACAAGTAAACATATCTAGTCTCAAAGAACCCACAGCTGTCTTAAAACTAGTGCAGCCAGACTAAAAACAAGTACATTTATCTAAATACTAAGAAAAGATTTAAGAATTATTTTCTCAGTATATGAGAAAAGTACTTACATTTAGCAATTGCTAGTGTCTTTGTCTTTAAATAAGGCTATATATGTAGGAATTATATCTTAAAACCGGTAAAGCTAGACTAAAAACAAGTACATTTATCTAAATACTAAGAAAAGATTTAAGAATTATTTTTTCAATTTGTAGGAAAATATGCTTAAATTATCATCAAATGGTTTACAACTATCTTGAAAGAAAGAACTAAAGAAATACATTTAAATACATTTTTGTCACCTCTTTATTATGAACCCCGCATGCATATGGACAAAACAAAGAATGCAACAAAAGAACACAAGGCTGTTTCTGGCCATGGTTTTGTACATCACCCCTATAAATATCTTGCCTGGTTCTATAGACTCTTTATAGTTTCTGATGCCAGAAAACATA